CAACCGTACCGCCAGGTCCACAAGGGAGTCCAGGTCCTCTGGTGAGGTCCAGAGGGGCTAGCTGATCCTTGATGTTGTCCGCTAGGCCATGGTGGAAGACGTCGGCAAGCGCGTGGTTGTTCCATCTGCTCTCTGCTGCTAAAGTGCGAAACTCAATAGCATAGTCCAGTACTCTTGTCTTGCCCTGCCGAAGACTAAGAAGAGCCCTTGAGCTCTTGCGGCCGGGGGTTCCATGGTCAAAAACCCTTGTAAGGGCTGAAGAAAAATCTGCATAGGACTGGCAGACCGGTGACTGTTTAGTCCATTCGGCCGTGGCCCATTCCCGAGCTCGGCCGGTCAGGTGGGTAATGACCGACGCCACCCTTGCCCTCTCCGTGACGTAGCATGAAGGATTAAGTTCAAACAGTAGCAAGCAATTTGTCAGAAAAGAGCGGCAGGTGCCTGGGTTTCCATCGTACCTCTCGATCTGGATCCCTCTGGGCTCGTGGATGGGAAAGCGCGTCTCAGCGGTCGGCCCCTCCCGTGAAGGTGGGCCCGAGGCGTCTGTTCGCTCTGGGTCAGCAGCCCCTACCACTCCTTGTGCCTGGTGTGAGAGTGAGCTGATCATGTCCTCCAGGGATGACTGGAAACGCCCCTGATTGGCATGAAGCTCCTGCATGGAGGCGGCGAGGGAGTTTAGTAGGTGCTCGTGGTGGTGGAGCTGTTGGCCCTGGTTCTGGATCACGGCTTGAAGTGGCTCTGCTGAGTCTGTCATGGTCAGGTTATGCTGTGAGGGGTCAGGACTTCGACTCAGGTGCAGAGCAATAAGGCAACAGAAAATTCTTTCAAGGTTTGGAATCTTTTACTAGGAGAGTAAACTATGCAAAACAAAGGGGGCACAGGCAAAGGCGGAATCCACACGCTCTTGTAGAAAACAAAAAGGAAGAGAGCCTGGCAACAAAGTAGAAACAAGATTACAAAAACAGCACTGGGAATTTAACAACAAACATGTACCTCTAGGAACGACAAAAGATAACCTGACACAGACAAGTGGGGGAACTGAGGCTTAAATACAGGTGGGGGTGATTACAAACTAAACTCAGCTGTGGGGGGAAACTAGATACAGGAAGTGCCGTGGTTACAAAAATAAAACAGGAAGTTAATCTTCAGTCTCTTCGAGTCGTCACAGTCTGCGTTTGAGTCCTGCCTCCCACCCGCATCCCTGACAGTGTTTTAATATCTTGTGTTGTCAAACCCAACTGCGAAATACAAAAAATACTCAGGGGACTTTCAAGTATGGGGAAAATAGAAGCAAATCATCACATATTAGATGATTGAAACAATTATTAAGTTACCAAATGCATTGCCATGTATTCTTTCAACTCGTTCAATACGTGTAGTATTGATAAATGTTAAATCTTTTTTGAATTAACTTAAACAACTTTAATCCAAAAAGATAACTACAACACGTCATGACTAAATACAATATTTTTCTTATTTATTTTTCAATACTTGTATCATTTTGATTCTTGGTTAACTCTTATTACTCTTTCCCTTTCATTAAATGATAACGCATGCACAAACCCATGCTAGCCTGCACAGCTGTCCTCAAGCCCCAGAGATCCTCATTGCTTCTCAGTGATTTGCCTCGCCGTCTCCACATAGACAATGTAGACACAATAATACACGATCTGATATGCTGCACAGGGATAGAAAGCAGAGGCGATGCCTTTAGCTGGACACAGAGCGGCGCAAGAGTCTCAGAAATGCTGGTTTCATTTTGGAGGTGAGGAGCTCAGTGACGCGCAGCTCGGATCCCCCCTGATATTATCATGTCGTACCCCATTAAACGTGCAATACTTAGTAATATAGACATTGACGCATAACATATAAAAGAAACTCGCTAAATCGGTCCAATAAAGTACAAGCTTTTATAACAAATAAAAGAAATACTCCTTTAAATTGCAAAACAGTCTCTAATTGAAGTGCGTATATTATATTGCGGCCTTCTCGTGCATGTCTTTAATATGTAAATCTCCTCTATTGTCATAATTACCGACCAACAGCCGACAGCCGTTGTCCCGATTCAGCAGCTGAAATAACAGTAATTCACTGCGGTCAACTCAGCCGACGCTTGAATATTAGTGCACGTATATGCTGACAATTACGGTGTTGAATGAGTAACCGGGGGAAAGGCTATTTAAATACCAAATTCCGGACAATTATAGAACTATGTGTGTACAGGAATACTTGTGTACAGTAAAACAAATATATGTACAGTACAAATTTGGAGATTTCTCCAAAGAAAAAGCCCTATAATTGCAATTTCAAAAACACCATTTCTCCATATTTGAGCTGCAATAAAAACAGATGTATTGATAGTTCCAAGGCAAGACCAATGTACCTGTGTTAAGGACCTCTCTGACTACTACCATGCTGAATATCAAGTATTTTTACGGTACCGATTTGGAGATTTCAGTTAAATATGTTTAAACATAAATAAATTACCTACAGAAGTAGTTATGTCTCGTTGTATTAATTTGTCCTGTTATTGACGT